CGGCCAGAGCTCTGCTGATGCACCGAGATGCAGCAGCGGGGCTGACCGTGAAACAGCAGCGGGCTGGGCCTGTGCTGGCAGGGGAGGGCGCCGCCCTCCAAGTGGGCAACCCGAGGCAACCAGTGGGCAGGCGGGTGCCCGCCAGAGACGGGGGCGAGAGACGGGCCCTTCCGTCTCCACTGCAGAGCTGACCGTGCCAGCGACAAGGGCAGGCGTGGGGGGCAGAGGGTGCGGGGGCCAGAGGGGGCGGGGCGGCTCCTAGCGGGTGTTTGCTGCCTGTCTGGCCCTGCTGCCCGCGTCTGGCCCCTGGGAGGCAGACGCTGCTATTAGCAGGCCCATCTCACAGATGCAGAAACAGACGCTGAACAGCTTGCCCAGGTTGGCAAGCTAGTAAAGGGGTGCTGGCCTGCCCCCAGCGGAACAACCTGCGTGCTTCACCACCCGGGCTACCTGCTTGAGGCTGGGGAGCCCCAGCCACGGGGTGGGGGGGTCTGGTGGAGGGCCGGGAGCCAGGAAAAGGCAGACAGGAGTGCAGTGCGAGCACCCTCCAGGCAGCAGGGGGTGGCCCTGAGCACCTCCACTGACTGGGGCCAGGGGCTGCCCTCTGCTCCCCACACTAGGACCAGAGCAGGAAGGTCAGTGCCCCACTGCTTCCCCCAGGTCCAGGACAGAGGCTTGAGCTGGGCTCAGAGCTGGAATGGAGTTTGCCGCTGGAAAGAGGAATGCAGAGGGGGCGGGGCAGAGGGAGTTGGAGGGAGCCAGGAAGGAGCTGCGGGGACCCCTCTGAGCCTGACGGAGGGTGTGCCTCCTGCCAGGAGGCCTCGGAGCTCCCTGCATCTGGGCCTCGCTCTCTGGAAAGTCGGCCTAGGGTGGGCTTGGGTGGGACCAAGCAGCAAGGAGCCGGCTCCCTCCAGCTATTGTCGCTGGGTACGGCCTGGGCCCCTCCAGAGTGATGGCTTCTTGGGGAGCTGGGGCATGGGGGTGGGGCAGTGTGAACGCAGCCCCTGGCCTCTGCTGGGCCAGTAACCAGGAGTGATGCACACAAGAGCTGAGGTGCAGGCCAGAGGTGGGGACTCCCCAGAGACAGCGTGGGGAGCACGACAGGCAGATCTACTGAAACCTACTGCTGAGGGCAGCGGGGAGACAGGAGGAGTGTGCTGCGCCCTGGGGTCCCTCCCCGGCCGGCCGGGGGCTGAGCTCCAACCCTTGTGCCACCAGGCAGGCCCGTCGTTTCTTGTTTTAATCCAAATGTATTTTTCAGAGCAGCTGCAGGGCCCCAGCAGGACAGAGATTTCCACCAGTCCCTGCCGTCCTCATGCACAGCCTCTCCTGCTTGCCGTTGAAATTTTGCTTCCAAAGGTCACAGAAAAGTGTAAAGCAAGACGAGACGCTGCAGATCTTCCCACCCAAGGCCCTGCTGCCTGGACTGCCGGTCGAGGGGTCTTAAAAGCTCACCCACATGTATGGGGTCACAAAACCACTGGCACCGCCGGAATCCTGGCTGCCAGCCAGACTTTCCAGGCGGGGGATTTCAGAGCTGTCCCCTCTCCCCGTCACTGCCTGGCCCGCGGGCCGGGTCCGGAGTGACGTGAGCGATGGCAGGCGTGCTCCGAGGCCGAGGTGGGCTCTCTCTGGAAATCCTGAGGGGGTGCCCGGTGGCCACGTGGCTGGGCATCAACACCGGAGTCCTCGGGGCTCTTTGGCATTCTCTGGGGACCTTCGCTCCCAAGCTCAGTGAAGTCATTGTGATTTCGAGGTTCACGGCCTGATCAGTCAGGAGCTTGAAGGGAGAGTGGGGTACCTGTTGTCAAGTGCTTGCGAGAAGGATGGTCTGATGTACTGGTCACTCGCTGCGGCCGGTCCCTGCACACCGCCAGCCCGGAGGCCGCAGGGCTGGCAGGAGCGGCTGGGCGTCACAGCGCACACAGCGGTGTCCGCAGAGGGCATCACCTAGCGTTAGCTTTATCAAGCTGTTGGATAATTTCAGGGGCTGTGAAGGAGCCTCGAGTACACACCCAAGCCCAAACGGGATCGGAACCTCCCCGGAGAGGGGGCACGCGGCTCTGAGCAGGTGACTCCGCATTTGAGCCGTGAAAGAGGAGCAGCTGGGGAGACCTGGGCGGCTCCCTGAGGCCAGGCAGCAGGTGCAAAGGCCCAGGCCGCAAGGCCAGGTTTTCCAGGGCTTTGAGCAAAGCACCTGTCTGCAAGAGGGGCCTTCCTGAGGAAACAAAGTAACCGCGGACTTACAGCCTTTCAATCTGTATTCTAGCCCCCACCTCCAACCTTCACTAATCCCAGTTAATTTCTCATCAGTTCAAATACCTCTTTCCCTGGGAAACCTGGTTCTACTAGTTCATGTTTATAAAATCTGGTCTGTGGGAAATGAGAAAAATAAGGTCTTCAAGCTGCGGGGAAGCATCATTACAAAGTTACTAACTATGTTTCTTTTCTTCCTAGAATGTTTCTCTTTTTATGTTTTCCCCTTTAATGTCCTTTCTAAAATGACTGTCGGCGACGTGACACAGAGCTCGGCTAAAGGCACCGGTTGACTGTCCCTTGGGACTCTCCTACATTTGGGGGAATGGCGCCCGCCCGCAGGCCAGGGCGTCTGGGAGTTGCCTCCTGACCGGCCCGCCACCGCTTGCCCTCTGCCGAGCTTGAGCTCAGGCGGGCAGGGCCGTCCCGGCCTGGCTGGCACCAGCGCAGAACAGGTGCGGGACGGTGTGACGAGTGCGCGCGGTGGTTCGAGACTGGCCGGAGACCGAGGAACCCGCGCGGCCTGGGAGCAGCCGCGGAGGCCGAGGGCGCGTGCAGGGGAGCCCGCAGCCCGCGGCGGAGCGGGGGTCCACGTAGAGCCGCGGGGACTGCGGTCCAGGGAGGCCGAGGTGTGGCCCCGCGGGGGGGGGGCGGGGGTTTGCAGGGCGCAGTGAAACCCTCTTCTGGGGCCCCGGCTTCCTTCCTGTGGGCAGGGGACCTGAATGCCTCGACCCACATTTTGCTCTAGACAGGAAGAAATGTTTGCAGAAAACACTTTCTAGGTAGCCTGCCAGTGCGCGGCCGCCCTCCGGCACCCCGCACGCGGTGTCCCCCAGACTCCCCAGCGGGGGCGCGGGCCTGCGGGGGGGGGCACCACCGGGGCGGGGGGTGGCCCGCACGCGGGCTGCGCCAGTCCTCTCCCGGTGACCGCTGCGGCCCCTGCGTGAGGGTGTCTTTGATCCCTGTTTGCCTTTTTAAGGACAGGCCCAGGAACCCCATTTAGGGAAGGTGGGCGGGAGTGGAAAGACTGATGAAAAGGTTAGCGCACATTTTTGGTTCCCACTTCCGAATCTTCCAGAATCTTTTATTTTTGCCTGCTTAATGAAAAGAGCCATGTCACAGTTCTTTAGCTTGTCTTCTGGGTTTCTGTAGAAAAAAAAATTAAAGTCTTTATTTGAAACCGCCCACTCCAGCCATCCCAGGACGCCGCGCCGAGGGGGCGC